CTTTGGCGTTGGTTGGGGAGCAAATAGGCCCAAATAGAGGAGGATAGATAATCTGCTTGGAGATTGAGGGGACCTGGTATGTACATCGCTGAAAGTTAAAAAAGATTAGTCTGAGCCAAAGTCATAATAGGAGAGACTTCTTCCAGCAGGGATTGACTGCGTGTACCTCCTTGACTGCGTGTACCTCGAGGTATTGTCGACTTTCACCAGAACTGATTTTCCCCAGAATGATATGCGTAAAGGCCAACAGCGCCTGGAACACCGTCCTCATCTCCAGGACATTGGAGACAATCCCTACTGCTAGAAAGGACCAACGACCCTGAAGAATCTCGTTCAGACAGGTGGCACCTCAGCCCAATTTGCTGGAATCCGTGGAAATGATCGTCCACGAGGTAGGGCAGAGAGACTGACGGCAAAGTAGGTTGCGGTCCACGAACCACCACCCCAGGCTGCTCCTCATCTGAGGAGTGACCCCAATGAGTTTGTGGAAATTCTCCAATTTCCACTGCCTCAAGAACTGTCAAGGTCTTACCTTGTCCTCATGGTGGCAGCCATTTTGGACATGTGCAGACTGCAGTCTCTTTTATATCCTCTGATTGCATCATTGCTTGCCTGCTGCCTGGGCGTTGCACAGTGATGATGTGGCAACACCTGACTATATCAGTCTGCTCAGGATTCAGGTTCATTGCGCTTGCGTTTGTGCTCCAAGGTGCATCTCTGGCGATCTGAGTTCCTTTGTGTGTTCCTGTGTATGATCCGGTCCGGCTGACGTTTCCTCTGGCTCTCGACCCCCAGCATCGGCAGACGTACCCGCATTGGACTTGACCGGCTTGTTCCTGACCTCGCTGCTCCCTGATGAATGTTTATGTTCCTTTAAATAAACAACTTTATTTTACCTGCGTTTCCGTGTGGTCTGGTTTCCTGGCTCCCGTGACAAGAACCCAGTCTGAAAATAACGAGTTCGCCATTGGGCCCACTTGACCATGGGAATCGTTGACACCATGGTGCCCACAATCTGAAGACAATGAGACGCTGGCAGTAAATCGTACAATGGGGCGCATGACAGGCACTGTTTTATGACCGGAAGCTTCTCTGGGAGAAGACAGACCGTGCACACATAGTATCCAGCCTGGCTCCCATGTGCACAAGTTCTTGAACGGGAGTAAGATGACTTTTATACCAATGTAATAGCTATCCAAACTGCTTCAACATTGAGACTACTAGTGATAGATGCTCCAGCAACAGGTCTCGATTGTGATGTAACAGGAGGATGTCATTCAGGTAATGGAAGATACGCACTCCTTTTTCTCGCAGCAAGGCAACCAAGGCAAGGAGGATCTTGGAGAAAACTTGTGACGTCGGGGACATCGTGAGCCCAAACGGCAGACAAAGGAACTGGAAATGGAGGTTGCCCAGTGAAAAACAGAGGAAGCTCGAAACGAATGTTGAATGGGGACATGGAAATAGGCATCTCTTAAATCTATTTAAGACTCCAAAGACTCCAAGTGGTGCTTTTTGATGTACCTGTTTAGGTATGTAAGATCAATCACCGGCCACCAATCCCCTGTCCTCTTCTGTACCAGAAAAAGTGGAGCGTAAATGCCTTGTAAGCGGTCCTGTCTCTGTACAGTGGCTACCACCCCTTGAGACAATAGATTGTACACGTAAGAAAACAGGAATGTGCGTTTGGATAGGTCATGAGGAATCTTTGTTGGATGAAAGATGGTGCAAGGGCTCCTGTGAAACTCCCAATAATGGCCATAGGAGATAGTCTCCCATATCCAACGATCTGAGATACTGTCCGCCCAGACCTGCTCAAATCTGGCCAATCTGGCGCCAACTAGGCAACTCTGGAATGGGCAAACTTTCAACAGGGTTTTTGCGATCCCTGAGCAGCTGCTGGAGGGCCTTTCTTGGATCTCGAGAAGCCTGAAGAAGGTCTCCAGGGTCTACGAAATGTATTCCCCGGTCTGTAAGCCCAGGCTTCCTTGCCCCCGTTCAGCACTTTCTTCCGCAAGAGTGTATTTTTCTGCTTCATGAGTCTTCTATCCTGAAGTATGAAGCCTGACTTACCCCCGGTGGCCTTGGCTATTGCGGTGTCTAGTTTGTTGTCGAATAGCGACTGACCCTTGAATGGAATTTTACACCATCCCTGCTTGGATGTGGGGTCCACCACCCACGGCCTGAGCCATAGAGCCCTTCTGCCTGTCACCACAGCCAACATAATCCTGGCCAAGGATTTGATCACATCAACTGAAGCTTCAGCAAAGAATATGGAAGATAATCTAATATTCTTTAAAAGGCCCAAGATCTCAGATTTACTATCAACCCAAGCCTCCATGCTGCCATGGCAACCACAGGCTTGCAGGCCCCACTGGCCAAGAGATAGATCTTTTTAAGATCAAAATCTGTACTTCTATCCCAGACATTCTTAAAGGTTACAGCATCATCAAGAGGTAACGTCACGTGCCTCGCCAGCCTCAATGAGGCCACATCAACTACAGGCGACTCATCCAAGTGTTTAAAGTTTTTTTTTTTTTAAAGGATAAAGTTTAGAGACCCCATTCATCCTGGATAACATCCCTAATTTCATCCTTGAAGGGAAAGGACAAAATTTCCTTCCTAACCCGTTTGAAATATCTCCATTTTTTCTGGACTCTGCCGCTTCTTCCCAAAGAAGGGTCTGTATTACAGCTTTAATAAAAAAGGCTGCACTAAGGCGAAGTTGAAGCCATCGAAGCGATCATAATCTTCATCTGAAGAGGGAGAATCAAAATGGTGTCCAGAGGACTCCTGACCCCTGCTTGAACCACCAGCCCTAGATGAGCCTAGCCTCCTGATCTGGTCCCCCAATAGGCTTGCTTTGAGACTAACCTGCGAAGAAGAAAACTCCTTCAGTGTGTCCTGACAGACTTTCTTCATTAAGGATATAACCTGCATATTATCCATATCCCTATCCTCCATGGCCTCCAAAAAACATGATTCCCATGCAGTTTTCCCAGGTAAGGCCACATTAGTGCATGCCCAACACCCTCCCAGGAGGGGCTGTGGATGGCGAGAAGGCCCAAGTTGTGCCGAGGGAATTCGCTGATATACAGTAGTAACGATGAGAGTGTTTCCTCTCTGGAGATGGAGATCTCCTCCGACTGGACGCATAGGACCCCTGAACATGGCAAGAGCCTGACCTGGATGAATTGAAAACAAAGGAGGATAAGACACAAGAGGCTGACCTTTAGACAGCAAAGTCCGCTATGAGGAGCAGACACCTACCTTTTCTGCGACTGGCAATCTTTGATGGGTGAAGATTTGTCCAGAGGCATTCTGTGAAAGACAAGAATCAATACTAGCACAACAAACAAAAAACGGCTATCAAGCATGTATAGACCATTCTCTACCTGACTCCGAGACTGTTGCAGCTTGGCTGACTGTCCACCCGACTGAGGCACTATAGAAAGCAATTCATTCAGGGCCGGGAGACTTTAATAGCCCCCTCAGCGACTTTCCACCTCAAGGAGGACCACCTACCTTTACCACACACCCGACGGCGGAGGAGTGATGCTGTAACGCATAGCTTACGATCCACCCTCCAGTGTCGTAGCCCACAGCACGTCTCAGAAGCTGGCATTCCCCTGGGGGCGGAAATGGCCTCGGCTAGTTCTCAGATAATCCGGCATACTCTACAATGTCCTGGGCGGTGGAGGGAGACACGAAAACACAGCCTCCACATATCGACCACCTTGTCCATGTCCTGGCCAATGGAAACCACAATTGTGTACCTGATGCTTCATCAACCCATCAACAGCTGGGATTCCAGTGACTTTACACAGTCTAGCCAACCCTGTCTAGCCAGCCAGCGGGGCTCCCATGAGACTTTACCATTTAGGAAAGGGCTACAGGGACTTCGCCAACCAGAAGTAGAAGAAGAAGGCGGACAGCAAGGAATTTATTCTCGCCAGGTAAGCACTCTGCCCTGATCCTGACATGTACCGTGTTTCCCCGAAAATAAGACACTGTCTTATATTTTTTTGGGCTCAAAAAAACACACTAGGTCTTATTTTCGGGGTAGGTCTTATTTTTTTTAATGTACAACAATCCACACTTATTCATGTACAACGGTCTACATGTATTCATGTACAAAAATATGGTCTTATATTTTAGCAATTCCCAAAAATAGTACTAGGTCTTATTTTCGGGGTAGGTCTTATTTTCGGGGGAAACAGGGTAGGAGGAAAAAAAGGAGCGGCAAGCCAGGGACTCTTTCAAATTTATGAGTTACAATCCTGATTAGGGGGAGAAGCTGACAGGGAAAAAAAACGATTTAATAAAAACATATTTGACTTGTAAAGTTTCTTTAAGCGGTCATATGCAGATCAAAGGTCACACCTTTGATCTACATATGAATAGTAAATACAATAAAACAATACACTGTTTCCTTTTATTTCCTTGATAACACTTGCAGATCTGCAAGTTATATTTTACCCAGGTGCATCTGCATTTTGATAGCCACGCCTGCTGTGTAATACAACACAATTACCAGCTGTCATTTCGACAGCTGGTAATAATGGTTGGGGAAACGGGATTAGGGGAAGAGGAGCAGGACATAACAGATGCCTCCTAAAAATTTTGTTGAAAAATGTTGTTCTTTAGGGTGTATCTCTTATGTCTAAAATCTATATGTGGTTATAAATTACAAGGAGGGAGGGAAAATGGTTGTTTAGTGGAGAGAGATATGAAAAGTCTCTCTTCTAAAAAAGTAAATAAAACGAAAAAAACTATTTCCTAACAATTAGAAAAAAATCATTATTATAGTATAATTTAGAAGCAATAGTACCCAGTTTATTTAGATACAGCAGTAATTAAATGGTAAAAAAGTGCACATTTTACTTTTTGAGGAATACATTTGAGCTTATTTCCCTTATTTCCTTTAAATGAATCTGTTTTTGTATCTATTATTCCTCACTTTATTTCTTGCTCACTTACCATAAATATTTTCCAATTAGATATGTCATAGTCTCTACCTTCATGGTTTGTCTTTGGTTGGATGGTACCACAGTCACCCTTTTAGTCCTGCTTTGCCATCACTGCAGGACATTGAAGCTCAAATGGATTATCAACTCAAACTGCAGGGTTCAGACAATAGCTTCCAACCATGTCTTGGCCTGATATGTGGTGAGTATTTGTTTTGCCTGTGATGTTAATTGCCTGCATTTGTTACCTTGTATTAACGAACAAGTAACCATTTATGTGATGACACAAAAATTCTTCTTGATAGGACCATATTTCCATAGGAACCAGGGAGTGCAATCTACAATATCTCCCTTCTGGGTTATACCTCCAGCTGAGGTTAGCAATGCATATAATTGTTTGGAGTAATGTTAACATTTAAAAAAATAATGTTTTACATTGTATGCTTTTTCTTTTTTTATAGCACCGTCCAAATGATTATGGGATGCCCATGGAGGTGGAAGTAACATACATACAAGACAACTTCTTAACCAGCGATATCCTACATGACATGGTAAATGCATATATATTTATATTTATATTAACACAGCCACAATTTTTGTATTCATGTTTTTCACAAAAAGTTGTTTAACGGGGAAAATAGAGATTTTTTAAATATGTGTAGAGATCATCTTGAGGTAATTATTAATACTAATGTGTCTTAATTTTCTGTTTAAAAAAATCATGTTTCTATGTTTGTAATGAGGAATGTACATGGGGACATCCATATATACCCATTATACTTTCCTCTGTGCTTAACAGTAGTTGGACTTTATTGCTCCTTCTCAGACTGTGAGTCAAGGGGGTCGGGTAAAGCAGCATACTGTATAAACTTCACAGCATCGTGAAAGTTAATTTCACAAAGTGACTGTTCAGTTAGCTTAGTGAATATGTAGAATAGCCATAAAACACCATGGGACCACACACCCTAGGGAATCAAAATATCAAATAAAAAAACTACAAAAAGCAAACCCTAAAAATAGAAAAAAACATTGGTGTATACAAGAACTGACTATTATACCAGCTACACATACTGTATACAAATAACAATGTACGATCGATAAAAATATATTTTTTTATAAATAAATAATACATACTAATAATAAGATAAATAAAAGTCTGCCATATTAACAGAGGCAGGAGGAGGAGAGTAATTGTTAGACCCTTAGGTAATAGTGTTACCCAGGTATAGGGAAGAGGAGCTCCACTCGTATTGTGGCCATGCACCAGATTGTCAGGAAAGTGCAAATGAGAGACTATAATTTGGGAGAATTTCCGGCACCATTATGGAACACCATCCTGGAAGTCAAATTTGTGCTAATGCTGGTGACAACCTGGAAGGGGCAGGAGCAAGTGATATGCATATCACAGAAGGAGTATGTGTGTCTATGTGTAGACTAAGATATGCGTTCTATGCAGTACAGTTATTAAGGCATTATATAAAAGTGATGAGGGTAAAAAGAAAAGCTGTAAAGCTGTAAAGTTGTGTATAGACATGAAAATGTGATGTGTGCGTGTGTATGAGTCCATGTGTGATTTTGCTCTTAGCAGTACCCGTACCCCTGTATGTTATGGTCTCCAAGGAAATCGTCCAAGAGTTTCTTGAATGATTCCACACTCTTAGCTGAAATCACTGCCTGAGGCAGTGAGTTCCAGACCTTAACCGCTCTAACTGAGACGAACCCCTTGCGCCCCGTGTGCTGAAATTTTTTCTCCACCAGTTTTTGGTGGTTGCCTCTAGTCATTGTTACATTGTTACATTTACGTTTTTTACATTTTAGACAGGGGTACCTCGAGATTTTGGATACTAGTGGCATAGTGGCATAATTGAAAAAAGGTTGAGAAATGCTGATTTATAGACTATCTTCACTGATCATTATTTTTTGCTGGAATTGGTGAATAAACGGGGTACTACTGTCTCCTCCTTGATGACTGGGGTGAGCAACTGTTGTCATTATTTGACAATAGTTTCTTTTTGTTTTCTGTAATAAAATTTTAGAAATACAAATAGAAACAACAATACCATGGCAGCAGCATGGAGCTCATTCTATACAAAATGGTGATCAGATACTAAGAGAGCTTGTCTCATATAGTCAAGTAGACTCCCTGTTTCAAAATTCTATTGATATACCTTAAAGTTGTATTAAACTCCCAAGCTTTTTTTCAGTAATAATTCCAGATCAATCAAATATAAATTGCCCAGCAAAGAATTGATTTACATGTTTTCTCAAGCACCTACATTCATCTAACTCTCAGCTCAGCTTCCCTGAACTTCCTGTACAGTACAAGATCACAAGGGACAGCACAGTCTCCAGCAGCCAACCATCTATAAGCTGGAAGAAGAGAAGAGGGGCATGGGGAGCAGAGAGCAGCAGGCTTCTTCTCTTACTTGCCAAGGTAAGTATGTCAGTGTAGGGGCAGGCATTTAACTGAACCTAGTCTTTGCCCTGTGTCCAAATGTAATTAAAAAAAATAGACAAACCCTGTTTATCATAATGAATTTAGATGTGTCTCTATAGAAAGAAGCAGTTTTAATCTCTAATGGACTTGTGGGGAGCTCTTCCTGCTGTAGGGTTCCACTGCAAGGGTTAATTTTTTTGATTGCCTGGAGTTCCTCTGTGAAGTTTTGTTCTAGTACCAAGACATATTTCTTAGTAGGCTAAGATGCCAGGATCTGAATGTAAGCATATAGTCAGATAGCCAGAATTTATGAGAGTTATGCCGCCACATGTACCTTTGGTAACATATATGATTTACTAGCTACTGTGTGATCAATCCATGATAATGATCTATAACAGTGGCGGTGCAACCGGTGCGGGGGCCCGGGCCTGAGGCTGTGGGGGGGCCCAGTGGGGTCAGGTCCTGGGCACGCCCAAGGGCGCTGATGGGGTGAGGGCGGCGGTTGCGGTCCTTGCAGCGAGCTGGGCCACACAGAGAGAACGGTCAGGTGGTGGAAGAGGAGGGGCCGAGGTGGGGCTATGCTGGGCCGAGTAAGATGCGACCCGTCCACGGCCGCCCCAGGCAAGCTGACAGGGCGGATCGATTATGGTAGATTCTGCGGCACCGGGCAGCATGGAGGCTCCAGGGCTGTCACTGTGAACAGCGAGCGGCACTTTCCTGCTCTTCCAGTGTGAGCTCTGCAGGAGCAGAACATCTGACCAGGCTGAGGCTGCACCAACTAGGGCAACAGCAACAAGCAGGTAGGTGGGCCTGGGGAGGGTTTATCGCAAGGTTGGAACGGAATGTAGGCAAAGTTTTGCCACGCATCCGATCACACTGCCAGCGGGGGGGAAGGACATGGAAGCGGTGCTATTGAATTCAATGCACCACCACGCCCCCTCCCGCCCCAGAACGCAGGGGGAAGTTTCGTGAGAGATTGCGGTACATTCCAGCAGCTACCGCTCTGGAATGCAACGCTTTCGGTGTGAACAAGGCCTTAGTGTTCTTCTGTTTTTACTGCTAAGTCCACTGTTTTCCTGAGTCCAGCACGTCGCTTATTCCCGATTCCGGCGCGTCGCTTATTCCCAATTCCGGCGCGTCGCTTATTCCCAATTCCGGCGCGTCGCTTATTCCCGATTCCGGCGCGTCGCTTATTCCCAATTCCGGCGCGTCGCTTATTCCCGAGTCCGGCGCGTCACTTATACCATATAGGCGGGTCAAGCAGTGGCAGGGGCGGAAAGATCCCACTGGGAGGGGGGCCTATTTAAGATGGCCTGGCGGCGGTGATCACACCTGTCAGCGCTCCCTCTCTCTCCTCACGGACGCTGCAGCTTCAGAGCGGCCATTAAAAGTTATTTTGTTTGCAAGACCACAAAGTGTGATTCCCTCTGTGAAGCAGCCACACCATAGCCCCACTTGCATTGGTAAAAGACGTCACAAATCTTTTGTCTTGCAATAGGTTACAGCTGCAACATCACGTATCTCGATACTCAAATTGGCCTGTGGTTTGCAACCATGCAGGAGGGTTCTGTTTCTTTAGGAACAAACTTGGAGACAAGTGTTGTGCTAATTAAGATGCCTTCCTCCTCTGTCACTGTCTGGGGTGCATGTGTAAGGGGTACACAGAAGAAAAACAGTATGGGGTTCTTCACGGGGAGAAGAGGAGTAATACAGTGGAATGTGGAGAAGAGGAGTAATACAGAGGAATACATGGATGAAGGAAACATTGCATGAAGGATGTTGAAGGCCGAGAGAAAGGTGCTGCATGGAGGGATTACATAGTTACATAGTATTTGAGGTTGAAAAAAGACACAGGTCCATCAAGTTCAACCTATTGCATGCATGTATAGGATTCTGCATGTGTATGAGTCCTTGTGTGATCTTGTTTTTTTATGGGTACCTGTACCCCTGTATGTTACGGTCTCTGAGGAAATTGTCCAAATGCCTTTTGAATGATTCAACACTCTCAGCTGATACCGCTGCTTGTGGCAGTGAGTTCCAGACCCTAACCGCTCTAACTGAGAAGAAGCCCCTTGTGGTTAAATATTTTCTCCACCAGTTTTAGGTGGTGGCCTCTAGTCTTTGTTATGGAGTTTACCTAAAAAGTTTATTGCTGATGTTGCTATCAACATTGAACATCTTGTACATCAAAATCATGTCCCCCTTAATCTCCTCACTTCCAGCGTGAACATGTTTACATTTAGTAACCTTGTTTCGTAGCTTTGGTCCTCCAATCCTTAATTAGTTTAGTTGCCCTTCTCTGGACTCTCTACACCTCAAGGACATCCTTTCTGTGGATTGGTGACCAAAACTGGATGGCATACTCCAGATGAGGTCGAACAAGTGATCTATAAAGTGGCAAAATTATAGATTTGTCTCTCCCTTTTTAATACAAGACAGTACTCTGCTCGCTTTGTTTGCAGCCGCCAGGCATTGCAATGGAGTTCCCATTAATGTGTATTTCGCCTGCCTATTTTTAACCCCAAAGAGCATTACTTTACATTTATCAACATTAAACCTCATCTGCCAAATAGTTGCCCACTCCCCTATTTTATCCAGGGTGATGGAGATGCAGGAGAGGAGCAGTACAGAGGGGAACTTCAAGTAGGAGAGGGGCATAGAATGTTTTTTTTTAATTATTCCTTACAGTAAGCAGATTGTTATGTTTCGTTTTTACACTGAATAACATAAATAAGATGTAGTAAACCAGCACACCAGCACAGGGAAGTAGCATTGGATAGTGTCTTTCTGGTGATTGCAGATCCTAAGGCCAGCTGATTTGAGGTAATATATAGTACAAAAAACAGCTTAAATGTTAATTGGAGCAACTTTAGTGGCTTTTTGGAGCAGATATTCAGTTCGCTTTGTGTGGGGGCCACCCATATTCAAAGTGGTAAATGTTCATTTAATTGGCTGCTGGTAACAGTGGGCTGTAAATAGAGGTTTGGAAACGTCTTGGACAAAGGAACCTGAAAAGAAGCTACAGGGTTAGGGCTGAGAAACAGGGGCTTACCATTCTACCAGCTGGTTGAACATGGGGTGCAGGGACTGGAAGAGCAAAAGTGTGAGAGTCAA